ATCTGCATTAATTAATTCAAAGAGAAAATCAGAGAAGGTCCTTACTGGTATGCTGTGTATACAATGTTTTCACGATGAAATATACTTCCTTGCTTTCAGACCATTATGATCACAATTTCATAATAATATCTTTTTTAACACACGCATCAATTGGCATGTACTTATCACCCTTGGGAAGGGGGACTCCCTAAATAAAAAGGACTGGGGTGCTTGTTGTACCTTTTAGGGGTTAAAAAAGGTGGGCTTGGTACCCCTTAGGCTGTTTAGCCTCAAAATGTCCACAGCAGCAGCTCCTGTGATACCTTGTAGGGTATTGCACCAAAAATATGTGACTGCGTTGTTGTAGAATTGGTGTCTTTCAGGGATGAAAAAAAAATTTTATGCTACACCCACAAACCAGGACCTTGGTACCTCTTAGTATTTCTTCTAGAACCTCTGTGCACCATGAATGATCAACACTCATAACAGCATGTCTACCTATAGCCCGACTTATGATCTTGGATCGTCTTGTTTTCTAAACGCCTTCTGCCGGTGTTGCAAATCGAAGTGTCCACTGTTGGAGCAAACAGAGTTCGATAACAGAACTTGTGTAAGGAACTCTTGCATTATGCAACATTGGGTTTCAATGGGATGTGAAAAGGTGGCCCTGCACTCTGTAATTTTTTGACTGCAGTAAGCAAATGGTTGTAATCATTACATATAATTTACCAAGCTAGGTATAACGAAAATGCACTAACACAAGCGGGCGCCATTTAGAGAAGGCAGAAGCGTCGACCAGACAATCATTAGTGCCTTTTGTGTAACTTAGATGTATTTGAACAAAGGGCACTAATGATCAGTACTGTTTGAGAATGAATGTTGGTTTGATTTATCTACAAGACCTCCTGTTCTGATTCTTGAGTGCTGGTTAATTACATAATTGATTAAGTTGCCTTCTTAGAGGAAGCATATTGTATAAGCTCCTATTGGCTATTTAAGCCTCTCTTTGCCCTTGGGGTTGAAAGTTTCCTTTCACAAAATTTACACCTTGCCAACTTGTTGCCTTTGGAACTTAAATTAGTCACCAGGAACCTGAGACCCAATTTGTTCATAGGTGAGTAATACTGCATTCAGGAACAATTATCCTTGAAATATCAAAATTTCTTTTTCTTTCAAGGTGAAGCCAACCTGATGGCCAGAAAAGATGAAAAGCATTACAAGGTAGAGTTATTATTATTGATTTTTTGTTTTATGTACAGAAAATAATGACTTTATTCAATCTGCAGAGGCTCAATTGAGAGGGGAATTATTCATGAAGAGATGGTGTAAAAGTAGATTATAGCTAATGAGCTTTTTGTTTGTGCTGATAGTGGTTTCCTTATTCTTCTGACTCATTTTAATGCTAATGTTATTTTTTTTACTACCTGTTTCATTTTCATTCTGCATACTTTGATACAAGCAGTAGTTGAACCCTTTACACCCTAAAATAGTAGTTTGCAAATTCTCCATACTGTTCTCTATACATTTCCTAAGGTGCTGACAAGCAGATGTTGTTAACTAATCAAAAGCTTATTTAGTTGATGATCATTTCTTCATACTCACAACCTTAGGGGTCAGAGGGTTAAATGGAATTGACTCCTGAGTAAGTCAGCCAAAAAAGGTATTTTTAGGTCTTTAAGTGGGTGAGGTATCAGTTCCAAAAGAAGTACAGCTGTGGGATGCTGATCAGTTTAAAAGTGGGCAACTAAGAAACCTGTTTGATGAGATACAATATGGCTTTCTAGCTAGTTCTTTATGTCTTGCTTCACTCTGCATTTGTTGGATTTGTTGCACAGTTAATAGGTACTGCTATCAGTATATGCACTCTTCCTTATGCATATATTTTTTTAAAAGCTGATGTAAACTAATCCTGAGTCCACTTTGCTTTGATAATGAAATCTGAGTAGCTGCAGGTGAGGCTTCAAATCACTCAGCCCTGGATGGAGAGAGGTACTGTGAGCTTCTGTGTTCCTCCTCCTCTCCAAACCTAGAGTGTGCATGGTACTGATCTGCAAATGAAGCAAGTTGCACAGGATATGGGTGGGATCATGAAGGGAATGACACATAAAAGACTCACTGTTGTATTTTTGTATGCTGACAGGTATTTAATGATAGCATCCATGGACACATTGAAGTTCACCCACTGTGTGTAGAGATTATTGATACTCCACAGTTCCAACGCCTTAGAGATATTAAGCAACTAGGCAAGTCTTCTCATGCTTTGGAAATGTTTTGGTTCAATTTTTTCCTAAGGTGAAATCTTCAAATCTGTGAACTTTCCATCACTTTCTTGTTGTAAAATATAGATCAAATTGGTTAGCATAATTTAGAAAGATATGAACCACAATCTTTGCCATTCGTCTGTGTAGATGAAAGGAATAATGAAAGAGAGAAAGAAAGAACCAGTACTTGGTTTTTAACCTGTCCAATATATTTTTGATATTGCAAAATGATAATTGTGGAAAGCAACAGGTTTAACAAAAATTGTAGATAGTTTACTTTAGGTGGAAAATTACTTATTTTCTTCTGACTTGTGCCCCTACCTATTTGTCCATGACTTTGAACAAGAAAATAACATAACAGCAAAACAAAAAATGCCAAAGAAAATCATTGTTTAAAAAACAATATATTTGATGTTAAGTAAAATGTTTTCAGATGTATGATTTCCTTTTTTTTATTCTATTTGTAATGGGATTGTACAAGCACCCCTTTTAAACAAGCAAAATATCATTATTTTGCGTGCATAGATGTGTCTTATAAATGGTGTCTTTCATGTCTTTAAACTCAGGAGGTTGTTACCGTGTATTCCCTGGAGCATCACATAACAGATTTGAACATTGTATTGGGTAAGTCTTTCAGATATAAAGCAAACTCCATCTTAGCTTAAGATTTGGTAAATTTGTAAAATGACATCTTAGAAAATAATTATAAGCAGCACTAATAAAGCAAGAATAAACAAGGATGGGAAAATATTAAAATGGATTGCAAATGACAACAATTGTAGTTGCACAAATCATGATGTAGCTCCTTTAATGTCCACCACTTTGACCTTGACATTTTATTTTTGATGTAGAACTTGTTACTTGGCTGGAAGACTTGTGAAGAGTTTGCGCAATAGACAACCAGAACTGGGAATCACAGATGAGGACATGCTCTGTGTTAGGATTGCTGGGCTCTGTCATGATCTGGGTTTGTCCTCATCATTTCAATTAAGAGTAAAGTAAATTCTTCCTGAACAAATGTGGTGACCAATTTACTCACTCACCTTTACGTGTGGGATAAGCACAGACCATAAATGGAATTGTTATGTCTACAAATACCGTAGTTTTAATTTTAAATCAAAATGTTTTCAGAAAAGTTTGATGTGACCTTTAAAGGATTACATTTACTAACCCTTTCACCCTCAGAAGCGAGTAACATGTAACTTCTTCCTGTAACATCCATACATTATCCAGGAAACAGGTAATGAGAATACTCACACTTCAGGTAGAAGTTGTTATCTTCATCTAACACCAAGGTCTTGTAGCTAATTTACAAGGAAATGCTTGGCAGCTCAAGGGGAGAATTAATAATCAGATCTTGGGAGTTAAAGCCAAAAAAAAAAAGTAAATTACACTGTAGAAGTTTAATTTTCATTTTAACCTGGAATTCCTTTGAAGCTAGAAAAGATGTAGGTGTAATGAATACTTACACACAAGAAAGGAAAATCAGTAACCTCAAATTGTAGGAAAGATTCACATTTAGAGGAAAACATAATAGTGTCATTTTAATGTAAATGGGATACAAACAGTGGCAGGTTATTCTTCAGGCTGTTGAAGTAATATTGGAATGAATTTGAAATACAAAGGAATTTCATGATCATGGTGATTGAATATTTTGGCTTTTTCACATGAAATTGTAGGAATCTAATACCATCCCTCTAGAGAAAGGAGGGGCATTTTTCATCCTGTATTGGAGACGAGATGGCTGCTTGTGTCTGTTGATTGATGTTGATTCTCATCAACTTTTAAATGATAAAAGTGTAATTTGTTGCAAGCAAATAAATTTGAAAAATTCTTGGGAATAATCAACTTAGTGTTTCACTTTCCTGCCGATGCAGGACAACTTAACATTGCTTTGGAAAACGACAATTCTTGTATAAGTTTGAAGCTTTGTTTTACTTTGTGCTTTGTTTGTTCATTTTCATAGGTCATGGGCCATTTTCACATACATTTGATGCATTATTTATACCAGCTGCCAGGCCTGATGCACACTGGAAGGTAAATGTACAATAACTTCATCTAGTTCTACTAATTGTTTGTATTTTTTCTCGCCCTGCAGGCTCATCAAAATACCGCACAACTAATAATAAGTTACGTAGTTAGACAACTCACCAAAATTTCTAATAAGAATACCTTTTTTTATGCAATGAGAAAGTTCATTTTAAATGGTACAGCTGCATATAACTAGTGCCAAACCTCTGGGCTAAAATAACAGATAAAGGAAATGACTGGTATTGTTTCTGTTTGGGATGTTTTCTCTTGATCTCTGACTTAAGATGAATCTATTGTTTTCAATTTTGCAACATACATCAAACTAGATGGTACTTGATTTCCACAAATTTGCTTTTCAAAATCTATGACGTAGTCCTTCATCAAGGGAGTGCTAAATATTTATTTATGTATTTATATAATCGCTTTCACCATACTTACAATACTAAAATGACTAAAATATACATATGAACAAGACACAGAAGAGAACGGAGGACAAGGGTGCGGGACACACAACAGAGCGAGGCTCCAAATTAAGTGCGCCCTTACGAGAAATACACAAATACTAACTATGTAAACAATGGACAGTGTAAAAAGTATATATAAAAAAAACCCCAATTATAAAAGAAAAAACGATAGGAATAAATCCCTCATGTAGCCGATAAAAAGTCCTAATAGCAGCAGTTACCGTTAGAAGATCACGTGACCTACTGCATTTGCAGCAGATCGACTTCCAGGTGTTGAAGCTAGTGACGTCATAGTTTGTCCGAAAAGCAGCCGAATTTCGTTGGAGTACGTGAGATTTAAACTGATTGAGAGAACTAATAGTACGAGTGGATGTAGGTTAGGTGTTCCAGAGTTTAGCGACACGATTAAAGTAACTAAATTGAAAAAGCTTTGTACGGCACTTAGGAATTAGTGCGTCTTTATCAGAGCTATGACGAGTAAGACGGGTGCCTTTGGGCCTGACATAATCAACTATGGGTGAGGTGTAGTGGCCAGCGCGACACTTGAAATAGAAAATTAAYTCTTTCACTTCGTGCCAGTATGTTAACGGTAGCAGGTTGAGGCGAGAAAGGCGCTCTTGATAAGAAATATCCTCTTGCCAGTGCGTGTTTAAGATGAATTTTGTTGCCCTGCGTTGAAGACTTGCTATTTTTGTTATGCCACCGATCGAACTGGGAGCCCATATCTCGCTAGCGTAGCCAATATGTGATCTTACAAACGTGAGATTTAGTAATTTCCTATGATCTGTAGTGAATGACGAAACACTGTTGCGTCGCAAGAATGCAAGCATCCTATTGGCCTTAGCTAAGATAGTGTTGATGTAAGTGTCCCATGTGAGGTCCGAAGAGATAGACACTCCGAGGTCTTTTACTTGAGTGACGTGATTAAGTGAGATGTTGTTCAACTTGTAATCGTTGCGAAATGCGTAGCGCTTACGTGTGACAGTTAGTGCCTCACATTTAGAGGTGTTAAACTTTAGGTGCCAATTCACTCCAGCCCTGCAGACTGTCCAGGTCTTTTTGGCGTGACTCAGTCCTGTAGACTATCAATGACACTGGAACATTTTGAGTCATCAGCGAAGAGTGCGATATGATTCTGTATCACCGGCGGGAGGTCGTTCACATAAACTAAGAACAGCAGAGGAACAAGGATACTGCCTTGAGGGACTCCTGATGGAACTGGGGAACGACTAGAAGTGAAACCGTGGACCAAGCACTGCTGACCACGTCCATCTAGATAACTCTCAAACCACTGCAGAAGTTTCCCGCTGACTCCCGTATTGGAAGAGTTTCAGAAGTAACCCTTGGTGGGAAACACTGTCGAAAGCCGTTGGGAGATCCAGATACACTATGTCCGACTGCAGGCCCTTATCAAGAGACTGGCCAATCTCGTGATAGAACGCTAGAAGCTGGGTGACTGTAGATCGACCCTGAAGGAAAAATCATGCTGTGCATTGTCAAACAAAGGACAAAGAAAATCATTAAAGTGCTTGAGTATACATCGTTCTAATACTTTGGACACAACGCACAGTAGAGAGATAGGTCGGTAGTTAATATTGCCTTAATATTGTCATTAAGGTGTGACACTTGTGCAATCATGAGAAAAGGTCAGAATAAACGTCAACTGATTAAAAAAAATAACACATTATAGAATCCTTGTGTGTACAGAAGTATGCTCAAGCAATTCGAAGAAGTTGTATGTAGCATGTTTGATTGACATCATTATCAATCAATAGGGTAACGTTAAATAGAAAAAACCAAATGCACCAAAGTGTAAGCAGTGGGTATTGTATTGCAGAATGTATTTTCAGGCAGCTTTCCTTCTTGACAATGCTTGTAGTTTAAAGGCAGTATGTAGATATACATTTATTCAATATGTTTATTCTGTCCATAGCATGAAGATGCTTCGGTTGGAATGTTTGATTACATGATGATGGTAAACAACTTGTTTCCAAGTTTTGCAAAGTATAAATTGACTGAAAGAGATGTAACCTTCATTAAAGAACTAATTGCTGGACCAGTGTTGGAGTCAACTGCTTGCACCTCTGAGGTATGATTTAGCACTTTGTGTGTGAAGGAGCAGAGGGGGGTGGGGGAGGGGGTTGCAGGGTGAATCTGAAAATAGGGCTTCACCTCTGAAAAATGCAACCAAAGTTTTCCGTCCATACTGGAACCGTTACAAAGGTTTTTCCTCTGCACTGCACTGAATGCACTTGCAAATGCAACAATCAGTGGAAGCCTTAGTGCATCCATGGGCATGTGTTTTATTACTTTGGGTTGGATTCAATCAACCAGTAAAAATCCAAAGAGCAGGGAAGTCGGTAGTTTCTAAACGCTTCATTTTTAGTCAGGATTAATTTCAATGGTAGTTGTTTCATAAAGGGGATTAAATCTCTGTTTTAATACTGTTTTTCATCCACACTGAGACAGAGTGGTGACATTTTAAAATCAGTCAGTTTGAACAGTGTAAAAAGCATTGTTATTTTGTGGATTGTCTATCTGTATTAGTGCGGATGACAGGCCTAACCTTAGAAAGTTAGTATGTGGCCATGACCTAAGTATTGCCGCGGTAAATAATCATTTAACAGTAGTTAAATGTACTTATTGGATAAAAATGCTTAACCAAGATCTCATTAGTAATTCTCCTTCCTGTTTGCCTCACAATTCATAAGATGTTACTGCTGAGGTTTCACTATTTGATCAAGTAACAATCCCCTAATTGGTAATTTTTCTATTTTCGTCGCATGTCAGATTGACATTGTATTTTTATGATACTATGAAATGTGCTATTTGATTAAAGGCCTGGCCCTATAAAGGAAGAGGACCAGAGAAAAGCTACCTATATGAGGTAAAAATACTTATGCGTTACTGACCAACCATGGAGTCATGATTCCTGGATGTTGGCTTTGTTAATTTTTTGCCTTTTTTATGGACAGAGACGAAGTCGACGTCCATAAAAACGCAAAAACGAGGCTAATATCTGGCCATCTTGACCGAACAAGCTTGATTGAAGGATTTATTAAATAGCAAAAATATTTCGCTTTAATGAGAATGAAGAATGATTTGTTTATTTTAAGAGCTAAGCCGGGAAAGAAAGCCAAATGTGGT